CTGCCCACTATGCTCCCCTGTTCAAGGAGCTGAACTAGCAGAAAATTCATCCCATCAAATATGAATTGTTTGCCACTAGTGTAGTTTCCTAGACCAGCTAAGGACAAGCACCTGGGCTGGGTTAAGAGAAACAGCTGCAGAAGAGCAGGATTTCCCCTTGGCTATTTCTTGCTGTTACCACTGTAAGACAACGTTGGGAATTGCACTGAGATAGCAGAAAAGGTCCTGCACTGTCTCCTCTTACTTCCCTGCTTAGTCACGACTTAGTTACCAGCTTCTAAATGCCCCCCTTTCCCCGTACTCAAAAACAGGAGGATACCAGACGTACCTGCTTGCTTTGGGTTTTTTAAAATAATTTTAAACATCTAATGGAATGACCAAAAAGAATTGGTTTCTAGATAATCAAAACTGTTCTGAGCTGAGGTAAATTTAAGCTTTCAGTCAAATGTATATGGTGTCTGTATATGTCAAAACACTTCGCTTTCTCTCAGAAGAGAAGGTTTCAGAATTGTCAAAATAATTGTTTCAGGAATGCAGAATAAAAAGCTGGAGTGGGAGGAGAGCTGTTAATGCACTTTGCAGGACACGTCTGTGTGCTGCAGTCACTTTGTGTAGGGTCTTCAGGGTCTAGGTGCAATGTGGAGCTAACCCAGAGCATCGTGAGTGCTTTAGTATGATGCTGAGCTGTAGCAAATGAGCTGCAGTGAAAGATAGCTTGCTTGGGCTCAGAACCAAGCTGACTCAGCTCATCTCTGCTTGCAAAGGGTCAGGGAGGTACAGCCTGCGTTTTCCACACTTCTGGATACTGCTCTGGTTTTGCTTAAAATATTTGCTGAAAGTGATCTAGCAAAAAATGTCATTGTTCAGGTGACAGGAACTTGTAGTGGGGAAAGAGAAAGCTGGACCACTAATCTGGCTTTGAGGAGTCTTCTATTGGTAGCAAGTGGAATAACACAATCAAGAAAGTTTAAAAACAGCTTATTGCAAATACTTCTGAAGGGACTGATAAAAGCGTCTTCATGCAATATGTAGGATAAACTGCCAAGGGCAGTTAAAACATTTTCAGAAGGACATTTTTTCCCTTTTAATTTTTGTTGAAGTTTTCCCTGTTATGCTTTTGTGCTGAAAAATCAAGCTCCTCTTGTACATTTTTATAGCCGGCCACAAGATGCCTCCATTTCCTGTGTAACACCAGCTCTTTTCAGGCCCCATCCTTTTGTCCTTGCCTGTGCTTTTTTCACTGAAACCCTGAGTCCTGAGTTCTTGTACCCTGACTTTTCACTGAAGTGAGTGTCTACCCTGGGTGCAAAGAATTGGGAATTTGAATTTATGCAACGTAGTGATTTCTAAGGCAGAGCAATCGCATTTCGTAATACAGGGTCCCAACAACTGGTCTCAACAAGAAGTTTCTCTGTCACTGTCAGTTCTCTGCATCATTATTCTGAGGGTCTTCAAGGGCTCCTTTGCTGACAGTGGGACAGTGCATGGTTTGCCAAACGTGTCTGAAGAACCTAGCATTTGCCTTTTTGTACTATCCAGTAATAGCCCTGTGTGTCCCAGTGCAATGAAGACATAGGATATGGCTAATGGATACACCACGGCAAAATCAGACCTCCCACCTCCGCTGCTTTGTAGACACTGCTTCCTTTGTGCTGCTTCCAACTTGAGTCATGTCTGTTCTCCTTTGTAAGCTTCTCCTGAGCCACCTTTTTTCGTAGTTATTGCAGTGGCATGGAACAGTTGCTTGTTTTCCCATGTCCTGCAGTGAGCACATGAACTGTCTGGTGGGCCAAAGTGCCTACTTCTTAAATAGCTCCCCAGGACCAGGGATAACTTTTAGGGATTCCTTTTCCCTTCAGATTTGTCTTGGTACAGCTGCTCTTCACTTTTGATGTGCTGTAGCTAGCTCCTTTGCTCTCTCTTTTAGGTGACAGGTGGCCCAGAAGCTGGAGGTCCCTTGACATTTGCTTTCTTTCAAAATGCAGCAAACATTGAAGTGGGAATCGCCTTCGTTCCTCCTCAAAGAAGGAGGAATTCTGCTTTAAGCAACAGAAGCAACATAATAGCTCATCACCAGATGCGCAGGTGTCTCTGGCAGTTTCTGAAGGTGCCAGTGGTTGCCATATGAAATATGCCTCTGAAGAACAACGTTAAGATGGTGTTTAAACAACACTAATGCTCTAATTAGGGATGACTTAGCCTTAGGGAGGAGTAAAATCAAGGATCTGTACTCAAGTGTGTGATTGGGAGGCAGGTGTTTTCATCTCCATCAATTTCTCTCTAGGTGTTTGTAAAATGCAATTTTACTGAAGCCTTTCTTCTTTTTCAGCAATTCATTGCCTAAAATGGGATCTATGTGAAATTTTTAAGAAGAGTATGTGCTTGTATTTGGGAGATTATGGCTATGTCTTAGATTTTAGGTCTCAGCTCCACAGCTTCTTGTGGAGAGCAGTCAAGTATGAAAAATAGCCACTGACCCATTTATTTGTGTCCTTGTTGATTACTGGCAGTTTGGCTGGCTAGGCAAATCAGCTCAGTGATTTCTGTTACATGCTTTATTTATAGCATGCAGATTTTTTTTTCGGTCCTGAAGTAGTGCAGCCCCCCTTTCAGCAGGGGAATAAAACATTGCTGAGCCAGAATGCCAGCAGGTATAAATCACCTGTAGGCACATCCATTCTCCAGAAATTCAGAGTCTGGTTGACTGATCATGCTGATGTATTATCATTATCTTCTTCACTAGCAATTATTCATCGGCTATGAAGGCAGCAAAGGGTAGATTTTTTGTGTGAGGCAAATCATGCTTTTTCAACAGAAAGATGCTGTGATACATTTAGTGTTTTTTTTTTAAAGAAGCTTTCCTAATGCCTTATTACTCCGTGGGAGGTCTTCCAGGAGCAAAGCAAGACTGTGTTTCTGGAAGTTGACCTCCCTGAAGAGACTGCCGATGCTTCTGTTAAATAGGATGTTTCTTACAGCTGTTTCTTATCTGGAACTACCTCGTGTACACTGAGGTTGGGGCTAGAGCTGCAAATCAGCTCCGTGGCAGTGGATACTTCATTGTGCTTACTTAACAGGTTATTCTTGAGATGACCTTGGATTTTACATCTCTAGTGAAAAATACTGCCTTGGGTATGATATATATATACTCCCCCCTTGGAATTTGAGCTGCATCAGGCTTGCAGAGCCACAAATTTTGCTCCTTTCATACAGTATTGTTTTTCCTGGCTTTCAGTCTTGCTAACAGAGTCTGCATGAGTCCGATCAAGGAGGACTAGCTCTCATTCTTTGTGGAGCCCTACAGCAAATTTTCCTTATTGCCTAAAAATAGCAAGAGCTGTCTCTTTTGTCTCCCCATTCAGCGCCACTCAATCCAGGGAATGAGAGGCTGGAAGCTGGAAACACAGCATTGAATCTTCCCAAAATCATAAATATATTTTTTTAGTAGATGGGAATTTGAGAATGGGAGTGGTATCTATATTTGTTTGTTGTTTCCCTACTTTTTTTTTCCCTACAATTCACTACCTTTTTTTTTTTTACTCTGGAATAGAGTTTCTTGAGGTTTAGGCTTTGCAAGCTTCTGTATTTTGGAGACTTCTAGCATGAGGGATAACACTGCAGGGATCACTGTGAGCCATATAAATCACTGTGCAGAATGTATCAATGATAAAAAAGAAAGAATAACCTTGCTTTGAATGGATATATGAATCTTCTAGGCATGAAGCAGCTAGGTTTTTTTTAAGGAGTCTATTATTTTGTCATCCAGAAAGCAGGAGTATCAGAGGTTGAAATTAACATATGCTCTATAGACTATGTTATAAAGCTGAAGCAAACTTACATTGCACGATAAGACTGGCCACTATTTTTCATTCCATCTTCATCCTGGCCCAGGTCCCTGTAGGCTAGGTAATTTGGATTTCAGAACAAGCTGAGACTAACAGTAACCTTAATTTCTTCAGGGTTGTTTTCCTGAGGCAATTAATTTCATACCTTTCGTAGCATGTTAAAAAAATACTCTTATCATTCAGTGCTTGATTTAACAATACCAGGGGCATTTACTTCAGCAGCAATCTGAAGGTCTTGCATATAATTAATCAGACACAAGATCTTCTTTCTAAAAGCTTAAAAGCCAAAGCTCAAGGATGTTGCCTCA